TCATCACATACTGGATCTATAAAATATACACTAGTTAATTTGTCCACGCCTCGCATGAGCTATACATGTCTATTAAATGTAATTTTATAAATAAATAATTCTAAGAACATTAAAATTTTTTTTTATCTATGTTCTAAGTTAGACAATCCGAAATTTACAAATAAGCTCTTGATTTTAGCAAAAGGGTTAAAAATCTTTCTGAAGTATATAGATAAGAAATCGAAAATCCTATTCTAGATATCATAATTAACAACATTTCATTCGACATATAGATTTCTTTTATTGTTTTTTTTTTAATTTTTTCTTAGATTTTTACTAAATTTTGGTTTTATAAAATTATAAAAATCGAAAACCCTATAAACATAAGAAATTATAAACACTATAATAATTAGCGATATTCTAACATAAATTTTGTTTTTTTTTGTGTTTTGAAACGACATTCTTAATTTTATTCTAATTTTTGTTTTTGTTTTTTAACATTTTAGTTAGATTTTTTTTAAAATTTTTGAAATATAAAAAATGGTAATCAATAGACAAATAAGTATATAGATTATAAGAAATCGAAAACCATATAAACTTTTTTTTTAAACTTTTTTGTTAATTTTTTTTTTTGTTTTCATACGACATTTCATTAATTTTTAAATATATTCCATTTTGTTTATTTTAACATTTTTGTTAGATTTTTTGTAAATTTGGAAATATAAGTTGAAGTTTTGAATAGATAATATATATTCATAGTGTTTTACTTTTGGGCTATATATGCCATCTGTAATATTTTCTCTCCATTTTCCATTTGAAAAATTCAAATCGTTCTATTAAAACTCTCATGGCTAAGAAACACATCAAGCCATTTCCGAAAGAACATCCGCCAAATGTCCACGAAGAAATGGAGACGTCAAAGGAAGACATAACGAAATCACAAACTCTTCCTATCGTCACCTTCACTAGAGATGAAGAGGAAGCGACCAAGTGAACGAACCTCCTCAACGGCCTCGAACGCTAAACGTGCCAAGCAAATTGACAAAAAAACTGCTGATATGTCAAAGACTTAAGAGTGAGGAAGATGAGATCGTGTTGCTTCACGTAGTCATTGATTTTGGGAAGTGTCCATTGAAAGATAAGGAATGATTTCACAAATCGATGTAGGAATCCATTAGCATTGAGGCAAGTAAGAATCAATTGATGCGAAAGATTAAGAGTTTGAAAAAGAAATTTATCGGTTGTGAAACTCGATCGCTCTCTATCTGCCTCACAACACTCTCGAATAGAAACTGACTAACACTCAAAGAATGAGAAAGACTGAAAGTAAAGGGACACAGAGCTTTAATGAGTTCGGGGCATTAACCAGCACCCTACCTGTGATATCCCGATTTCCGGTATATGTGAAAAGGCTTATAAGAATTGATTTGGCTACCTATGTCATCAAAGTACACTTATCTTTCCGGTCAAGTGTTTTAAGAGAACTCCAGAGTTAAGCGTGCTTATGCTGGAGAAATCTCAAGATGGGTGACCTACTGGAAAGTAATCTGCGATACCGTGCGAGTGAGAACAAAGCACGGAAAAAAGATCACGTGGTGATTGTAGGGACAGTAGACAACTCTTACGAACCTCCCGGACCAAGCAACTCCCGACCGTCGGACAGGGATGGGCCCATGGACCTAGAAAGAGGCCAACCGTCGGACAGTGATAGGCCAACAGGCCTAGAGAGAGGACGTTGAGCTCACTGGTAGGGACGGTTGGTGGGCCAACGGGCCTAGAGCGAGGACGTTGGGCTCCAGATTATACGGCGTTGGACTCACTGGTAGGAGTGGTTGGGGGCGTTCAGAGTTGATAGCCAAAGACGGATTCAGGGTCTCATGGATTTGATAGCCGGTCTGTCTGGTTTTCGGTAGGGAAGAAGGGTGCGGGGTCTCACAGTGTGGTATCATCAGAGCGTCAGGTTAGCCAACCGGCTCGGACCCGGGTGGCGTCTTAGGACGTGGTTGAGAATTCGAGGACGAATTCCTTGGAAGTCGGGGAGAATTGTGACATCCCGATTTCCGGTATATGTGAAAAGGTTTATAAGAATTGATTTGGTTACCTATGTCATCAAAGTGCACTTATTTTTTCCGATCAAATGTCTTGAGAGAATTCCAGAGTTAAGCGTGTTTATGCTGGAGAAATCTCAGGATAGGTGACCTATCGGAAAGTAATCTGCGGTACCGTGCCGAGTGAGGACAAAGCACGAGGAAAATATCACGTGGTGATTGCAGGGACAGTAGACAACTCTCACGAGCCTCCCAAACCAAGCGACTCCCGATCGTCGGACAGGGATGGGCCCATGGGCCTAGAAAGAGGCCAACCGTCGGACAAGAGTGGGCCAACGGGCCTAAAGAGAGGACGTTGGACCCCAAATTATACGGCGTTGGGCTCACTGGTAGAGGCAATTGGGGAAGTTCAGAGTTGATAACCAATCCAGATGAAAGATGGATTCGGAGTCTCATACATTTGATAGCCGGTCCGTCTAATTCCTGGTGGAAAAGAATGAAGCGGGTCTCATACTACCTCTCGCCGGCGGTTGACCCCGCCGGAATCCACTAGATCTCAGCTCAATACGAGCTACAAAGTTGCTATTCTCTCTCTCTAAGAGATTATCTCTCTTCTCCTTATCACTTACAAAAATTGATCTGAAAAGAAGATGAGTCAACGACTGGTCATACATAAGACTGTTACAGACATGCTTCACACAATGCACATGCGTGACCAATGAGGGAGTAACACCTAATGGACTTAAACCGTACCAGATTGATTCTCCAATCCTCGATTATCTTGAGATGAACCGCTCAAGACACTTCGATAGACTTGGTTATTCCAACTAATGATCTTGGCTACTAATCCTTCATCGGTAAAGAGATAAATTCAGTAAGAAGATAAATTTATCTTCTTCTTCCACCACTCTCTTCTTTGCCTTGCTCGTCTCACCTTTACTTTGTTTTCAAAGCAATCCCATTCGTTCCCCAAAATATACTTGGACATTTCAAAACATGTCTGATCGTTATACCTTTGGTTCTTATCTCCTAAAACTCATATTTTTAACCCTACCCTAAATCAATTTGGATCTCTTGTTAATCACTTCACCCATCGATTATACAATAAACCAATTTTAGAGACATTGTCTAAGCTTTTAACATTAAATCATTGCATCAATTGAAAAAAAACTACAAGTTAGATTTTAAAGGTTAGAAGATAGAATAAAAAAGTGAAAAAGGTTTCATAAATTATAATTTTACTCGGATTATCCATACGTTATGTGAAATCTTGTTAGGCCTCGATTATCTGCATTTACATCTGCGTTCACGTATATATTATTTTCTCAAATGAACTCACAGCCTTAGACATTTTTAAGAATTATGTTTTGATATATCTAAAATGAATATTTGTCTATTGACCAAACTGGTAACGCGTGGCCATATTTTAAGAAATTAAAATGCTTGTATAGAAATTGATTTTCGAATCAAATATCATTTATGATTTTATATTTTTTTTGTCAAATTTGATTGATTTGGTCAAATACCAAAATAGTTAAAAGTTTACTAGTTAACTTTTCTCGCGCCTTGCACGGGCTAATATAATTTCATTTGATTGTTTGAAATTTTAATAGTTGTTTGGATTCATTTGTTTTTTATTTTTGAGTATATTCGTTTGTTAGATTTCCTTGCATTTTAATGTTGGAAGACAAGATCGTGAAAACAATAGAAGAGAGTAAAAAAAACATAGTAGTATCCGAATAATTTAGTTTAAATAGTTTTGAGATCTTTTGATCACTATTCTATGTATTTTACACATAATTTTTTGAACTACCATATGAACTTATTCGATTTTGATCTCTATTTTTATTTGTTTTAAACAACACAAATACCATGATTCCATTTAATTAGATATATATATATATATATAAATATATTTTTACTTTTTTGTTAGTGTTTTTTTTTTCAATTTCTATTTTTTTTTTGTTTTGAAACAAAACCTATATCACGTAAGCAAATCACTACACAAATAATACATTTTTAAAAAACATTAATATAGGTTTACGTGATGACTCCATGAATTTTTGGTTAGAATGAAAAAGAAAAAAGAGGCTTAATAATTGTGAAAGTTGTGATTAAAAATTTGAGAAGTTGCTTATATTTATACTAAACCATAAGTAATCTTTGCCTAGATATTTGTTAACATTTTAGTTAGGTTTTTATATTATTTCGAAGATATTAGAAATGGTAAATTTCTTTTTTTAAAAATTTATTTTTATAAAAATATTTTTGAAGATATTAGAAAAGGAAATTTTTTTTCTTTTTAATTTATTTTTATAAAAAACGTTTTTGAAGATATTAGAAATGGAATTATTTTGAAGATATTAGAAATGGTAAATTTCTTTTTTTTTAATTTATTTTTATAAAAACGTTTTTGAAGATATTAGAATCGGAATTTTTTGTTGTCTTTTTAATTTATTTTTATAAAAACGTTTTTGAAGATATTAGAAATGAAAATATTTTTTTATCTAAACGTTCTTTAAGACATTAGAAATGGTAAATTCTTTTTTTAATTTTTTTTTTTTAAACTTTTGGTTGAATCTTATTTTAAAAACGGTTTTTTTTACAGCGAAATTAAGCATTAAACCACAATAATTTAGTTTGGTTTGTTTTAAGTTGTTTTTTACACATCATCACATGATAAACAATAAAAAATTGACACGTAATTGGAAAATATGGCTAAACGGTCTTTTAACGGTCGAAACTCATGGAGCTGACACATTAGCGAAAAGTGGTGAAACTCGCTGTGAACGCGATACGTAAGCAAATCACTACACAAATAAGTATATAGATTTATTCCAAGTAAAACTCTTTCCTAAAACTTTAGTATATATAGGTATGTTCAGATCAATGGAAAACGACACAAAATTTACAATTCTCTATATATGTTTTCAAACACACGGTTAAAGACTTTTAAGTTTTAAGTGAGGAAACATGAAAAGCTATTTCACATTCACCACTTTCTTCTTCGCTCTTCTCCTTACCTCATGTTAGTCATTTCTTCCTCAATATATATTTGTAAGTTTTATTTATATGTTGTGAAAATAACGATTAATGTAATGAGTTTGGTGTGTATATTTTTATAGGTGTGGTAATGAGTGCGAGGATGCATGAAAGCACAAATGGTGTGTTGCAGTTGCAGCCAATAGTATGCAATACCAATGAAGACTGTGCTAAGTTTTGCAAAGGTCCCATTCACAACTGCCAATTTCATACTTGTGCCTGCGTACCCGGAAATCCTAATTGTTGCTAGAAACATCCCCACACACGCATAATCTTAAACGTTGGATTCTAAATTTCGTTTGATTCCGATTCAAATATCTTTTGCATTGGAAGTCTATGTACGCAAAGAAATACAAATATTATGTTTATCTTGTTCTTCGACGATCCGATGGTTTAACCAAACTGAAACGTAACATCCTATCACGGCACATATAAACTCATTGTGGAGATATTTCGACCCTCAAAGGCACTACCTTTTATGCCTAATATCACCAACACACCAAAAGTAGAAAGCTTTAACGGATTGAATGAGTTTTACGAGTGAGCAAGAGCAAGTAAAGTGCAGAAAAATAAGAAACAGAGCACACACAGAGTTTAACGAGTTCACGCCCGGAAAAGGGTCGCTACGTCTCGCCGGGATCTTCCGGAATCCACTAGAATCTCAGGGGTTACAAAGAGTATCAGAAACATACACCAGCCCCTTTACAAGGCCCTCTACAAGTTTCACTCTTTCCCCAGATTCCCAAAGAACAGAACACAAGTTTAAGCTTTAATGTTATGTTCTCTCAACTCTCACACGAGTCACACTCTCTGTCTATCTTCTCAATGATGTAACATAGCTCTTTAAGTAGTCACGTCTTGACCTAGTTCCCTTTGCCCCTCCACGTAATTTCCATCACTTGAGACAAAACCGCATTGAATAAAAGTGGCACTTATCTCTAGTGAAACCAGGAGACAAGTCCGTACTATGTTTGCTTTATGGCAGGACATAAACGGCTCTCTTAAGTGGTCCTGAGCGTAACTTACGGTCACGTGACATTTGCCTTTGAGCTGCAGACTTCTTTTCCACGTCTAGCTCCCTTTTGATCTTGATCTTCAGCACTAATCCCAACAAAACTCCACCTAGTGATGAACGATCAACAAAAAACAGCTTGAGCCTGTAACATACATTTAGATAGACTGATGATTCCAGCTTCGCATGGATTCCGATCCCGATTCCTGAGTCTTCCTACTCAGTCTTCACTCGTAGCAAGTCCAATGCGGCTTGAAACTTGCTAACGGGTAAAACCTTGGTGAAAATATCTGCCGGATTACTCAAAGTAGATATCTTCAACACCTCCACAATTCCATCAGCGATGGTGTCTCTGATCTTGTGGTACTTAACAGCAATGTGCTTAGTCCTTTCATGATGCACATTATTCTTCGAAAGAGCTATGGCGCTTTGAGAGTCGCAGAAAATCTCAACACCTCCTTGCTTGTAACCAAAATCTTCTAGTAAGCCTTTAAGCCATATAGCCTCTTTCACTGCCTCATTCATAGACATGTATTCGGCTTCAGTGGTTGACAAAGCCACTACCTTCTGTAAAACTGACCTCCAACTGATTGTGTTACCCCCTAGAGTAAAGACCATTCCGCTTATGGACCTTCTTCTATCGACATCTGCTGCAAAATCTGAGTCGCAATAACCTTTTAGAACAAACTCAGAACCTTTGCTGTAACACAAACTTTTCTTCAGGGTCCCCTTGATGTATCTAAGAACCCACTTCACTCCCAACCAGTGTTCCTTGATCGGATTACTCATGAATCTGCTGATGATACCCACAGGGTATGATAAGTCAGGTCTTGTACCAACCATAGAATACATTATACTCCCCACAGCGTTTGAGTAAGGAACTGATTTCATGTATTCTCTGTCGTTGAGAAGCTGCTTGTCAGTAGCTGCACACATCTTCAAATGAGCTCCAAGGGGTGTTAGCACCTCCTTTGCTTGCTCCATCTTGTACAGTTCCAAGACTTTACCCAAATATCCTTCTTGAGATAACCTTAATGTTCCTTTAGCTCTGTCTCTCGTGATTTCCATACCGAGTATTTTCTTGGCTGCCCCGAGATCTTTCATCTCGAATTTGATACTAAGCTGTTGCTTCAATTCTGAGATAACTCCTTTGTCTTTAGCTGCAACTAGCATGTCATCCACATAGATGAGTAGATATGCCTTGTTGCCATCACCTAATGTTTTGATGTAAGCACAATTATCTCTTAAGCTTTTCTCAAAACCAATTTCCTTCATATAACTGTCAAACTTTTCATTCCATTTCCTCGGTGACTGCTTTAGACCGTATAAGGATTTGTTCAATAGACACACTTCTCCTGGCTTGAACCGATCCTGATAACCCTCTGGAGCCTCCATGTAGATCTTCTCATCTAACTCCCCATGTAGGAAAGCGGTTTTAACATCAAGCTGCTCAAGTTCGAGATCTTCTTCTACCACAATAGCTAACAAGATCCTTATAGAAACATGTTTAACTACTGGGCAAAAATCTCTGTGTAGTCTATCCCTTCTCTCTGAGCATATCCCTTTGCAACTAATCTTGCTTTGTATCTAGGTGTTTCTACCCCTGGGATTCCAGGCTTTCGTTTGTAGATCCATTTGCAACCGATAACACGCTGTCCCCTTGGTCTTGTAACAACGGTCCATGTATGGTTTTTGTCTAAAGAGTCCATCTCTTCGTCCATACCATTACTCCAGAATTCCCAATCACTGTCTTTCCGAGCTTCTTGAAAACTTGCAGGTTCTCTAGTATCACCATCAACAGTTGTAATGAGAGCTTCTGCATCGAATGCATCTTCATATGAATTCTCTTCACCACAGTCTTCACTGAAGTAGCCTTCTACATCAAACCTTCTAGGCGGTCTCAGTTCCCTTCTTGCTCTGTCACGAGCCAAGTGATAGCTTTCTGGTGTTTCAGCTATCTCATCTATATGTTGGCCATCTTCCGGTTGATGAGATCCTCCTGCTGACATTTGATCCATCTCCTCCTCTTGTTCATCGGAGAGATCTCCACCTAAGCTTGTATCACTTCTTTCTCCAAGGTCGATATCTAGTAGTGTATTCGACATCTCTCCTTGATCACTTAAGGTCTCCTTTCCTCTGAGAATAACGTCTTTATAGACTGCATTCTCTTGAAAGATTACATTTCTGCTCACCGTGCACTTCTTCTCTTCTAACAACCAAACTTTATAACCCTTCACTCCAGCTGGATAGCCTAAAAGAACTCCTTTCTTTGCTCTAGGTACCAGCTTCCCTTCATCTGAGTGAACAAAAGCCACACACCCGAATCTCCTTAAGTAGCTATATACCGGTGCCCTTTCGAACCATCTCTGATCAGGGATCTCGTTGTTTATAGCAGATGTTGGTGTTTTGTTGATGAGAATCACTGCAGTGCAGGTCGCTTCAGCCCAAAATGATTTAGGCAATCCCGAGTCACTTAACATACTTCTCACTCTTTCCATTATGGTCCTGTTCATCCTTTCTGCGATGCCATTTTGTTGGGGTGTGTAAGCACACGTCCTGTGTCGAACAATACCCTTTTGTTTGCAGTAGTCATTGAACTCATGGTTACAGAATTCAAGACCATTGTCAGTTTTCAATATCTTGATCTTCCTCTCGGTTTGATTCTCTACCATGATGCTCCATTCAACAAAGGTTCCAAAGGCTTCATCTTTGTGCTTTAGGAAGTAGACCCATGTCTTTCTAGTATAATCATCGATGAACGATATGAAATATTGACATTTTCCCAAAGACAATGGAACACTTGGAGCTCCCCACAAATCGGAATGGATATAATCCAACTTCTCTTTTGTATCATGAGCAGCAACAGAGAAACTGACCCTCTTTGTCTTTCCGTAGACACAGTCTTCACACATTCCTAGTGTTGACACCTTCTTCCTGTCTAGAAGTCCTTTCTTAACCATAATGTCCATATTCTTCTGACTTATGTGACCCAGCCTTCTATGCCACAGGACTGTGTCATCTGCTTTCCTTTCTGCAACTAGCGATTGACCACATTCTGAGCTACCCTGAAGTATGTAAAGTTTCTCATGCCTTTTCCCCACCAGGAGAGTTCTGGTCTTTTCTTTGACAATAAGAGTTCCGTCCCTTGATTCAAAACTACATCCTTGCTCCTCCAATGTTCCCATTGAGAGCAGATTTCTGTCCATATCAGGGATATATCGAACCTGAGACAGCAACACTGTTGTTCCATCTTCATTCCTGATTCTGACATTCCCAATGCCTCTGACCTTCGATGTTGTTTTGTTTCCCATTCTGACTGAGCCTCCACTGTTTTCTTTAAGGTCTTCAAACCACTCTCTTTTGTGAGTCATGTGGTAACTGCAACCTGTATCCATGACCCATACATCTTCTAGACTTATATCCGTAGAATGTAGAGCTTCTGATACATATAACCCTGTAGAGTCATTCTTACTCCCTTTTACCATTGCAGCTTCCCCTTTACTTTGATCCTTTGACTTGTTCTGAGACTTATGTTTGCTCGGACATGAGCTTCTGAAATGCCCTTCCTCACCGCAGATCCAACACCCTTTCTTACTCTTGGATTTGGATCTTTTGTTCGGTTTTGAACTTCGCTGATCTGACCTTCCTCTCTGTTCTCCCTTATCCTTGACGTATAGACCTTCTCCTTGTCCTTTAGAACCTTTAGAGCTTGATCCAAACTCTAGTTCCTTTGCGTAGATAGCTGAAACAACTTCATCAAGAGTAAGTGTTGACCTTCTTGACCCATATTTCAGTGTATCCCTGAGTTGATCGAACTGTCTCGGGAGAGACATGAGTAACAAGATCGCTTGGTCTTCATCAGACACAGTAACGTCAGCATTTTCCAAGTCTCCAATCAGATGTAAGAAATCGTCTATGTTTGCTTCGATAGACTGGCTTTCTGACATCTTGAAACTATAGAGTCTTTGCTTCAGATAGATTCTATTTGGAAGAGCTTTTGCTAGATAGAGCTTGTCCAGTGCATCTATCATTTCCGCAGCGGTTTCATTCTTTCTGATCTTCCTTAGAACCCTATCTGTAACACTCAGTATGATTGTGCTTCTCGCTTTCTTCTTTTTCTCAGCCAAAGATTCCTCCTTTTCTCTAGCGTCCTTGTCATCTGCATCTTTTTCTTTTGGATCTGAGCCCTTCTTGCTCGTAGCCTCAGTTTCTTCTAGGCATTTGCTTAAACCCAAGAGATCCAGATGAGCCAGCAACTTGTCTTTCCACAGCGTATAATCCCCATGGCCGTCAAACTTCTCCATCTCTACCCTTGAAGACGACATGGCTCTTACAGTCTTCAAGACTTCCGAACCACAAAACCACCGAAACCTGGCTCTGATACCAATATGTGGAGATATTTCGACCCTCAAAGGCACTACCTTTTATGCCTAATATCACCAACACACCAAAAGTAGAAAGCTTTAACGGATTGAATGAGTTTTACGAGTGAGCAAGAGCAAGTAAAGTGCAGAAAAATAAGAAACAGAGCACACACAGAGTTTAACGAGTTCACGCCCGGAAAAGGGTCGCTACGTCTCGCCGGGATCTTCCGGAATCCACTAGAATCTCAGGGGTTACAAAGAGTATCAGAAACATACACCAGCCCCTTTACAAGGCCCTCTACAAGTTTCACTCTTTCCCCAGATTCCCAAAGAACAGAACACAAGTTTAAGCTTTAATGTTATGTTCTCTCAACTCTCACACGAGTCACACTCTCTGTCTATCTTCTCAATGATGTAACATAGCTCTTTAAGTAGTCACGTCTTGACCTAGTTCCCTTTGCCCCTCCACGTAATTTCCATCACTTGAGACAAAACCGCATTGAATAAAAGTGGCACTTATCTCTAGTGAAACCAGGAGACAAGTCCGTACTATGTTTGCTTTATGGCAGGACATAAACGGCTCTCTTAAGTGGTCCTGAGCGTAACTTACGGTCACGTGACATTTGCCTTTGAGCTGCAGACTTCTTTTCCACGTCTAGCTCCCTTTTGATCTTGATCTTCAGCACTAATCCCAACACTCATGAAGGATAGTCTTGACTTCATCACTGCCCATTCTCCAAGAAAATAAGAAACTAACTGCGTGATTAAAATTTGTTAAGAAAGAGAGCAAGGGAAATGATGAAATGCAGTATCATAATTTATATCAATGATCAAACCAAAACATCCGTTTTCCTTTCCCTGATATATCAAACGTCCAAAACATCCGTTTTTCTTTACATTCATAGGAATTCCATTATGATTTCTTACAATTCAACCATCCATTCATTGATTATTAGCCAAATTAAAGCTAGCATCAAAGTTATGCATATTGAACTCTGGTCTTTGTGAAGTTTTCGATGATATCTGAGTTTGAGTTATGATTGATGACTGATTTGAGGAGTCGTTTCTTGTTGCTTGCAGCCATTGAGACACATCTATTTTCAGCATCTTGTACAACCCTTTCAGGACAGACACAAATTTTCTAGAATATTAAATTGCATATAAATTTCCAAATTCTCCATAAAATCCATAATGGAAGAAGCTTTTGAGATTCACTTAACTTTGAATGGGCTTCTATATCAATGATGCTACATAGTAGATCTTCTTCATTATCACCATGTGAAATTTGTAGAAGCCAGGGAAATCTAGATAGTCTCCAAATTATCAACCACACCAGACAAGTAAAAAGCATATGACATATTGTTTCAGGAGCTGAGCAACATCATTGACAAGTATGGGCTATTGGCTAGCTTAATTGTTGGCAACCTTAACCTACATTTAATTAAAGATAAAATGGCTATGTCCCATATTAACAATGGTAATTTTGAAAAGCTTTTGGTTTCATGGTATTTTTTCCTCTCAAGTGGCTGTAAAAATTTGCAAGTACACCAACAATAAGAACAGTTATTGACAATGGTAATTTTTGAAAAGCTTTTGATTTCATGGTATTTTTTCTTCTCAAGTGGCTGTAAAACTTTGGAAGTACACCAACAATAAGAACAGTTATTGACAATGGTAATTTTGAAAAGCTTTTGGTTTCATGGTATTTTTTCCTCTGAAGTGGCTGTAAAACTTTGTAAGTACACCAACAATAAGAACAGTTATTGACAATGGTAATTTTGAAAAGCTTTTGGTTTTATGGTATTTTTTCCTCTGAAGTGGCTGTAAAACTTTGCAAGTACACCAATAATAAGAACAGTTATTAACAATGGTAATTTTGAAAAGCTTTTGGTTTCATGGTATTTTTTTTCTCTGAAGTGGCTGTACACCAACAAGAAGAACCATATTTGTTAAAAACAGATTAAGAAAACTATATTATAACCAAAATTTTTTTGACAAAACAGAAATAACCGAAACAAAAATAAAAAACAATTCGAGTGGGTAAAGCAACAGCTTCCACCGAACTAATTCCCAACCTTACCTTTAAACCGACGTTCCTCCCACAAAACCGACAAAATCCCTAAATCGGGAAAAATCTCCTCTCCGCCGTGAACGACCGGAGACTTTTCGTGGATGGGCCAATCAACATCCGCCGCCGGAAATTCAATCCTCAATCGACGGAGAACCAAAACGTTTTCTTCCAAATTTCCAATCGAACCTGACAAATCTGAGGTTTTATTTGATTACTCATCGTCTTTACCCGACGAGTGCTTGGCGTTAGTGTTCCAGTTTCTAAACTCCGGTAACCGGAAAAGATGTGCTCTCGTTTGTCGACGGTGGAAGATCGTCGAAGGACAGAATCGTTACCGTCTCTCTCTCCACGCACGCGCGGATCTGATCACTTCGATCCCTTCCCTCTTCTCTCGATTCGATTCCGTTACGAAGCTTTCGTTGAAATGCGACCGTAGATCTGTGAGCATCGGCGACGAAGCGCTAGTTAAGATCTCTCTCCGGTGTCGGAATCTGAAGAGGCTCAAGCTTAGAGCTTGCCGTGAGCTAACTGACGCAGGTATGGCTGGTTTCGCTGAGAATTGCAAGGATTTGAAGATATTCTCTTGTGGATCTTGTGATTTCGGAGCTAAAGGTGTGAAAGCCGTGCTTGATCATTGCTCTTCTCTCGAGGAGTTATCGGTCAAGCGTCTCCGTGGATTCACCGACTTAGATCCGGAATCGATGGGGCCTGGCGCGGCGGCTTCTTCTCTTAAGTCGATTTGCTTGAAGGAGCTTTTCAACGGCCAATGCTTCGGTCCGGTGATCGTCGGCGCGAAGAATCTCAGATCTTTGAAGCTTTTTCGATGTTCCGGTGACTGGGACAAGCTTCTTCAAGAAATGGCGGTTAAGGATCATGGTATAGTGGAAATACATCTTGAACGTATGCAAGTGAGTGATCTAGCTTTATCTGCGATCTCTAATTGCTCAAGCCTCGAGATTTTGCACCTTGTGAAGACACCTGAATGCACGAACTTGGGATTAACCGCGATTGCAGAGAAATGTAAGCGTTTGCGAAAGCTTCACATCGATGGATGTAGAGCGAACTTGATCGGAGACGAAGGGCTAGTTGCGGTGGCTAAGTTCTGCTCCAAGTTACAGGAACTGGTGCTCATAGGAGTGAATCCAACGTCGCTGAGTATAGGAATGTTGGCTGCGAAATGTCAGGATCTTGAAAGATTGGCACTTTGTGGTTGCGATACGTTTGGTGATCCTGAGCTTTCTTGCATCGCTGCGAAATGTCCGAGTTTGAGGAAACTGTGTATCAAGAACTGTCCTATCTCCGATCTTGGGATCGAGAATCTTGCGAATGGTTGCCCCGGTTTAACCAAAGTGAAGATTAAGAAGTGTAGAGGAGTGTTGGTCGGTTGTGCAGACTGGTTAAGAACGGTTAGGCCTACGCTTTTGGTGAACGCAGACACCGTAGAACCAGAGAATCTTACAGAAGAGGCAAGCAATGATGATGATGTTGAAGTAGGCTTGCAAGAACACGGAGTCCAGTTCCCTCGTTTGATCAACAGCTCAGAACCAAGCATTGCGTCTGGTAGTAGAAGCCGCTCAGGGTATTTCAGTTCACGAGTTGGATTGTTTAGTTTGATGAGCCTAGTAGCTTGCACTTCGAGAAAACGGGCAAGCAGTTGATTAGTTAGTTACTTGATCATGTTGTTTCTTCACAAATGAAATTGTATATATATTTGGTTAGTTGATTGTTTGTTGATGCTGTACTCAATTTCGTGTATGATCTTTAGTGATCTATCAAGTTCCTAACACAAAGAAACATCACAGTCTCAAAATCAATGTCTTTGAGAGTAAAGCATCCATAAGCAAGAAGTGGAAATATAATAAGAATTAGAAATAAAGAAGTGAAGAAAAGATTTAGAACCAAATTTATTTACAGAAAACCATCACATTCTCAACATAGTTGTTATTACAGAAACATCAAATTCTCAACATAGTTGGTATCAGTTGCCCAGATTGATGTTCTTCTCTCGAAAGCTGAATTTGGCAAAGCAAAGAGATGCTTCCACCACATCTCATCTCCAAGCTTGAACAATACATATATTACTATAATCACAGAAAAACGGTCACTTTGCCTACTCATGTTAATGGATGCAAAAAAAAAGGTTTCATACAATTTATGTGCTAATTCATACCTGAAACCCACAAAATTTTCCCTGTGGCTAGAGGCCTTTTGGATTTTCACTTGTAGAGGGATAAAGCTCTCGTCATCTTGCATTGAAGAAGCCATTGCCCCATCAAAGTCTCTCATCATAGGTAACAGCGAAACAAGGAGCAAACGTGGCTCTATATAATTCTCATTGATACCTATGGAACTTTTGCAAGCCAAAACAGCTCCATAAATTAAAATGAATAGAGCGCTTGTTTGGTCTTCTTCTTGTTCTTGAGAGACTTGTTCTTGTTCTTCAAACACTGGTTTACTAGGTACATGCGCCAAGTCTGTGAAAATCACTTCTCCAACTTTCCGGATCAAATCATAATTCGTCCTCCCAGAAACAAGAAAGAGCATTGAGATAATGTGGATGATGAAATGTACATACCATAAAACACTAATTTGGATTCGTTATTATTTTTGTTTTCTTTTTAACTTTGTTTATTTATGCTTGAATTATTTGCTCTATATATTTTTGTTTTTTTTTTATTCTCAACTTTCTTATCTTATTTATAAATTCTAAATTGCAAGGTAATCTTCTCTATTAAAACAGAAGCATGTTTTGTGTCCAAACAGATTTTTTTAGTTTTCTACTATTCTACTTTTGGATATCTACTATTTCTGTTGCCAAATAAATATTTTAATTTTATTTATATTTTGTTTTATTTATTTCTGAATTAATAAAGTAATATATTTGAATTTTATCTTTAAAATTAAATTCGAAATTTTTAAAATTTAATTCAATTAGTTTAGATTTTCTTAGATATAGTTAGGATTAATTATCAAAATGACAAAAATCAGTTATTATTATTTTTATAAAATAGTAAATAAGATATTAACTAGTTTTCTTTTTTAAATATCCAAATTTAAATACTATTCTGATAAAGATAATAAACAATTATTTTAAAAATATAAAAATTTAAAATTTAAAATATATTATATGGTAATATGAACAGATAGGGTAAAATTATGTTTTTGTATTCATAGTCTTTTCCGGATCAATCAAATGAATGGATTAAAACTATGTTTATATAATCGTGATCAAATTCTTAGAAAAAAGAAATTTTAAGAAATAAATTTTATTTAAACACAAAAATAAATTATGTTATTTCTTAAAAAAATATTATATCTATAAAAAATGCAAATTACATTATAAAACTAGATTAAAAAAAAATTCTCGTGCGGACACACATGATAGAATCTAGTATAAAGTTAAAATATTTAATATCTTTCTTCTATATATACAGTCAAATGGAATCATAATGATTGGACTTGACGACGTAACTATGAAATTATGTATTTCCCTAACCCGGTTTCTGATTCTTTTATATGTATCTCTATATTATTATTTGAATAGATATTTACATAAATGAATCTTTATTTGTAAAAGATTACAGAATATTTTACATAAATGAACATTCATCTATAAAATATTATATAAATAAACCTTTACTTATAAGATATTATATAAATAAACTTTTACTTATAAAAATATTATATAAATAAACTTTATAAATATAGAAAACCCAATTAAATATTTTTCCGTAAGAGATAGTTAAATATAGAACTCACAGATTTGTTTTGAATATATATGGATATAAATCAAAAGTGTATTTAGTTTTTTTACTTATTAAAGTATTAAAATATATTATATTATTTAAATACTAATCAATTCATATATATATATGAAAAATATATTTATACTTTTTCAATACTTTCATTATTAATTTAATTATTTTTTTAAAAAAATATATTTTTAAATTTTAAATTATATTTTTATACGGGTTAGTCGAAAAAATATTCTAGTAAATTGCAAAATAGATTAAGTAGATGGGTTTGTCCACTTTAATAATCCTATATATAATCAGTATTAACACATATTATAGAACTAGGTGTTTACCCCGCACCTTGTGCGGGCGGAAATGTTTCATTAAAAATACTTACTCAAAATCGCTAATTTACTTGAAAAACTTACTCAAAATCGCGTTGCGCGGACGGAAATATCATCTTTTCTTTCAATTTCTTTTTGTCTTGTTCTTTCGATTTTTTTTCTTCCTATTATTCTTTATATAGTCTATCTTTTCCAATTTCTTATTGTTTTACATAAAATATTAAATAAACAGACTTCTTCTTTGTGTTTTTCTTCTTTTTTTTAGTTTTATTCCTTTTTTGTATTTTCTTGTACTATTTATTTTTGGAAGTTTGGAAGTTTCAGATGTATATTTTCACATCTTTTATAGGCTTGATTATTTTTGTATAAACGATCAATTTCAAAAAATCTTACGAAGTGAAGCACAAAGATAACATAGACACATATTATCCGAGTATTCTAATATGAATTCTCCTCTTAAAACGAAGTTGAAATATAGTTTGGAAGCTGAAACCAAGTCACTCTTAAAGTTGTTATTCTTTATTGCCTAAAAAGTAATTCCAAAATTATATATATATAAATCCAAACAACTAAAACATGTTTTAATTTTTAATCATAAAAATTAGAACTGTATTCACTTCTTATATTTTGTAGAAAGAATAATCTTCACATAATGAATTATTTATTATTTGAGACATATATTCTTCCAATTATTTTTTTAAAAATTTTAGATTCTTAAACAATTATAAATAAGATGACTCTGCATATGAGTTACTCATTTTTCCTTTGATCGTTATGTAAGGTGCCTACTGGTATTATCTTGACTATTTCCTGGTTTTTAAAACTTTACCAATGTACTCTGTTATTGAGATTTACATAATGAGATTATTTTTTCTATAAGACATTGAAAGAAGTAAAAATCTTTTAATTAGCGGAGTGATGCTATAGGTTTTTTTTAGGGGAAACAAATCTATTCTTTATTTATCTTAACCAATAGCTTCTCAATACTATAAACTTACAATTTTTCACATGTCCCTCCGAATTGTAAACCGAATACTTGATATGATCCTTAATTTGGAAAATACCACTTGCAATAAACCATATGGTTTTTTGCACCAATAATATAAATCTGAAGCTGAAAGATCTCTCACTTACCACTTGGATCTTTCTTAGACCCTTGTCAACCTTTGTCATTTGAAAGAAGATCTAGAGTCTGTTGTTGATTTGTGCTCTCATTGTGTTCCACATCAGCAAGACCATTCTCCAAAGCTTTCACGTGTTTTTCGAAGTAGGTTTGGTTACTTTAGTCAACCGAAATCATTGAAACTTTTGGATGGTTCATTAGTTCCGGAGACAAACTGTTCCAACTACATCTCTGCACAATGATGAAGCCTCTTTCAAATACTCGAAAAAATTGTGTCTTTGCATGTTCATTATGAGCAAGGTAGTATCCATATGCAAATGTCCAATTCAAGACCCTCCTACATTCCATTATCCAATCGTATAATCAACCACATAAATACTTTGGTCCGTTTAAGAAAAATGTTGTAACAAAAGTCTCACTGAAAGTGTCATTACTAATATTCCAAAATTAGCATGATTACAAGATTTTACCAATAACAGTCTTTAGTGAAATCACACTTTCTGTTCAACGATTCCACAAGATTTAACATGAAAAATATAATTTTAAAACCCTGATTGGTCTAGTTTGTTTAAATTTAATCAATAATTTCCCATTTATATTCCATTATGCATCATCCTGGTTCACCTTGAAAACCATGTATTTTGCAAGGCCAAGAAAGTCTGGTTGGGGCAAGAGTCCCGGGCTCATCGAAATCTTTATTCCAACGATTTCTTCAGTCTTTACTATAATTAGAGTGAAGAAGCAGAGCGATCAATTCGACTTGGCTTAGAGAACAGTAGAAACTCGTTCAATATGGTCTCTTTTATGCTTGTGAATTTTTTTTTTGTTTTGCTACGATTTTATGCTTGTGAATATATTCTTCACTATAACTGGACATCATAATAAACAACGCTAAATCAGTATGATTAGCATCACTTTGATTCCTCAAAATTTAACTGAGATGAATACACCTTAAACATGAAATCCAAACAGAATCTCAAGTCCGAAGCAAAATTATTTTTGGATAAACCAGACACATTCCAAAAACAGAAACAAAGTTGAGATGGAGGAGCATAGACAGTATGGGATCCGATCGGTCATAGACTTATAGAGCGATATCGATGGAAATTAATCGCAAAGCTTAAATACTCAATCGTCCTCATTCATCATGAACAAAGACCCAAAGCTTTTAAACAAAAAACCCTAATTCAAAAATTTTAATAAAGCAATACAACTCAAACGTCAAAACACAGAGACCACCGGTTGAAGAAGAAGCTCTGACTAATCGGAGAATAGGGCTAAAGTGAGAGCTTTGGGGCTTTCATATACAAAACCATACAATTTTATAGCATTAAAAGATCCAATATTAACTTCATGGTAACAAAATTTGGTATAGTTAATTATAAATAAAACTTAATTTTAACCAATTAAAGGATATTAATAACCTTTTAGAAAGGGACAAAAAAATAATTAACCACGCTGAGATTGAATGAGATGTCTCTAAAGCTAAAATTCACTTCGCTTTTAATATATACGATGATGATTAGTCACCTAT